TCTCCAGACCTGAATCCAATTGAAAATCTTTGGAGGGAGCTTAAAATTCGAGTTGCCAGGCGACAACCTCGGAACCTGAATGATTTGGAGGCTGTCTGCAGGGAGGAGTGGCCCAACATCCCTGCCGAAATGTGCACAAACCTTGTCACCAACTATAAAAACCGTTTGACATCTGTGCTGGCCAATAATGGCTTTTCTACAAAATATTAACATGCTGTTTGTCCAGGGGGTCAAATACTTTTTTTTTCCTCATCAGATGGTTATCAATTTTAATAAATTCATATGATGTGATTTTCTGGAATTTTCTTTGGGATTCTGTCTTTCACTGTTAGAATGTACATATGATTAAAATTGTAGATTGTTGCATTCTTTGTAAGTGGGCAAACCTGCAAAATCAGCAAGGGGTCAAATACTTATTTCCCCCACTGTAAATCAATGGGAAGATGTCCAGCTTACAAACTTACACAAGCCAACTATATGCTCAACATGAAAGTCAAACGTTAGGCAAGGTACCCAAGTACTTCTATCAGAAGTTGGACTAAAACAGAGCTTCAACGCAAGTGAATACTGGCTAACGTAAGCAATGTGTTGCTAATGTAACCAGCAACTTAAAGTTGTTTCAAAGAATCTGTGCAACTCATTTCAGATGCTGCAGGCTCACCCAACCACTGCCCAATGGCAGATAAAATGTCCAGATATAATACAACAGTAACACGGGCAGAAGGTGGAGTCTCTGCAGACACAGATGCTTACAGACTAACCAGCCCTAAAAAAAATGACTTTGTTGGAAAAGTAATTATATGGCATTTTAAGGAGGAAAATTCTGCTCAGTGCTTTGACAGACTCAGTGTTTAAACAGTTATGTTCTTGTTCTTTTTATGTCTTGCATTTATTGCAGACCATCATAGGAAACTTACTTTTCCTGTAAGTAGACGTGTTTTTATCTGTTTAGCATTTGTAAGAAACCAGGCCTATTTAGTGGTAGGTCTGAAGTATAGTACTGCCTTTAGCTGGAAAAATGTGCAAACATTATGTGCAAAATACTAAAATACTTTTCTATTCATGCTTTTCAGATTCCTTTTTTGCAACTGAGGTCATTTAGGAGCATTCCCCATATCACCAACAATATCATTTGACTGTTCATTAGCAGATGATAATGACAGCCAACCAACTGTAATGCGTTTATTCATACTTACCTGTAAACACAAGCATGTATGTTGGATCTTTGGCACCAAACTGGTATAAAAACAGACATGTTTACTATAAACTGCAGTTTAAACAATACCAGGAGTTTTAAAAAGCACAACACCTTTTTAATCTTACTGGATTTCATCCAGTTCCGTGCAGTTCTGAAGGTCAAATCAATGTAGAACACAATCTTATTTTATTTTAAAGTATAACCAGTGTGTCTTCAAAGTACATTAGTACAATATTTAGGCATGGGCACATAACCCATAGCAACGAGAATTGAAGGTTTATTCCCACACGGACACTAAAGATAGACCACTGTGCCATTCATTCTGATATGTGTAATGGTTCTCCTTGACTCATCTGTAGACTCAATCTCCCACAATCCTCCCACAATCAGCACTTTGCTGAGCCAGCTTTTATCAAAGTCTTACTTTCATTTCTTCTTTATGCACTGAGTATGTATAGCTACAAGGGAGTGAAGTAAACAAGTAAGAGGTAACTTCTATAAGTACCATGTGCGCATGGCTCTATGGATGGCAATATAAGACTGTCGGTTGGTCCACCTCCTTGGTCCAGACTGAAATATCTCAACAGCTATTGAATGGATTGTCATGACTTTTTGTACAAACATTCAGGGTCCTTAGAAGATGAATCCTGCTTACTTTATTGATCTCCTGACCTTTCTCCCAGCTCCACCTTTAATTGGACCAATACTTTGGTTTATAACGAAACACCTGCAAAAAAAATTACATTTCCATCTGCCTCGGCTGTCCTAAGCTAATTTGCTAATGTTGCAACATCATTATAAATCAGCATGTTGGCATTGTTATAGTGAGCATGTCGCTGTTAGAATTTAGCTCAAAGCACTACTGTGCTGGAGTACAGCCTCAAAGAATCACTAGTGTGGTTGTAGATTCTTAGTCTTCTTTTTGTGCGTGTCATTTGCAAATCAAGGACCTGCCAGCATTGTGAAAACCTACATGCAGCACATCAGTTGCAATGATGGCTCCAGTTTTGGTGTGAACTGACTGAACTGCAGAAGGGGCCACTGCCATGTTCCACTATTTGCTTAGGCCTCACATTATACACTTTATATTATATTTTCTAAGGTGGACAGGGCTGTACAGTGATGATGCAGAATAGCTTCTAACTTGATGGTCTTCTACCAGAAACTGGCACATATAGTCTGCAGTGAAGCAGTAACACTGCAGAGCTGTCATATCCTGTTCTTCAGCAATGTACAGTATATGCAATTAACCAGGCTGAACTACAGTAGCATCCGGTGCAATGATCTGTGTTCCCCATTTTGTCACTGCTGGTATGACTACACATGGTATGCATGAGATATCATGTCCAAGTTTGTAGTTGTGAGTGTGTCTATTTGAATGTGAGGGATTGTGTACAGTATATGTGTGTGTGTTGAGAAAAGCGTGGGAACTGCAGAGGAGGATGTGTGTATTTACGAAATTGGCTCTGAGTTCCCATGATTTCCTCCGGATAGCAGACTGTGCTAGACGGGGCTGGAATTAATTTGTATCAGTAAATCCTAGAGGCAGACTGATTTATACTGTGAATAGAGACAATAGAATAATGGTCAAATCCAGAGTTCCCACTTTTCTGTATTATGGATGATTTCAGGTCTGTTGCCTCTCTGCACTCTTAGAACTTGTCTCGAAACATTGCAAACTGTATCAGAGTGAGTGGTTCCAAGGTTACATCTGAATGTACACAGGCCTTGAATATCACAGGAAAAGACAAACACTAGGGACGATACAGTCATTTTGTTTTCACTTCTATCTCACCATCTGTGTCATTACTACAGTGTCAGTCTGTGTAACCTTGGGCAAAATGACGAGTTCCTAAATGTCACAGAAAGTGCTGGTCAGGCTGAGGATGCAGATGTTTCAATTGCTCCGATTTACAAAAAACTAGACAAAGACATCAACAGCAACATAAAATGAGGTCAAGTCGAGTCCAAGAGAAATAAAATAAATGACAGCCCCCAATAGCCTTAAACTGTGTAGTTGGGCCCATTCAAGTCAGGTTTTCTTTATTCGTGCTTTGTGGGATTCTCAATTTGCGCCACAGAGACAAATTTCCCAAATCACCAAACTATTCCTCAAAGCTCATATTTGTCTTGCTGCACCCAGATGTGTTCTAACAAGGTCTTGGTTTGTTGAGCTCTTAACTTAATTGTTAAACAATCTTGGGGAAATATGCTTGTTTGCTTTCTTTCCAAGAGGGATCTGAGAGAATTGATATTGTAATTATAATATATAATTGATAATTTCAAAGCTGGACTCGGGCCATAGTTAACCTAGTATAAAAACTTACAGAAGGGGGAAATTGTTAGCCTGGTTCTGTCCAGTTAAAACAAGAAACAACTCTAAAGCTTGCTAATTAACATGCGTACTAGTTGGTTTAACAAGTATTTTAAAACATTTGGTTTTTGGGGTTACAAATAAGGGAGAAATGTTTCTTCGCCAATAACAGCGTGAAGTTACTGTGTGCAGCATCCTGAAGTCTTGTTATCACAGTGAGGTTAAAAAGTGCCTTTACAGAAGCCAAAACTGAAACTTATGCTGTATCAGGCAATCTGTATTAGCCAGAGATGCTGCTCAGAAGATAAACTGGTATTTTTCAAGAAACAGTTCCAGTGCATAACTCACTGTAAAAACACCACTTAACGCTTTTACATCTCTGTTTATGAATGGATTAAACAAACAAGATGGGATGTGTTAATTAGTGAGCTTTAGAGTTATTGGCAGGCCCAACTTGATGTTTCCTCCTGCTTCTAGTCTTTATGCTAAGCTATGTTAAACATGTTCTAACTCTATCTTCATACTTAAAGCAAGCCTATGTAACTTTTGTTAAACAGCAGCCAGTGTGGCTACAAGTAGCATTCACAGGAAAACGGTAAATACTAAAATGTTGTGGTGTGTTATTTCTCCTCTCAAAGGTTACATACTCTCTACACTTTACCACACAATCATGAGATTGATATTAATCACTTGATTTTACTCTTGGGGAAAAAAAGCAAACAGGATTTTTTTTCCAAAATGATAAACTATTCCTTTAAGCAAGGGCTGATTTCCCCAGAAGCGTATAGTATGGATCAGTAACCCTTCACTGGATGGATAAAAGTTAAGAAGCCATGACTCTGGGAGTTCTGGGAAAACATTTTCCTGGGAATTTACCAGAGGATTGTGCTGCTTCTCATAACACACACAGGTCAGTTCATGGGTCGACTTCTCAGGCTTTCTCTTATACACACACACGCACATGTACATACACACAGTCATCCCAAATCTGTTTAAGGGAAAATGGTGTGAGCAGTATGAAGCTGAGAGGAAGAAAGACAGCAGCTTAAGAAGGAGATTCTTGTGTTTTTTTTGTGTGTGTGTGTGTGTGTGTGTGTGTGTGTGCTTGCCTCAGAAAGTTGGCCAGTCATTAGTTGAGAGCTCTTGGAGGAAGTGGTGGTTACAGATGACTCAGCCAAGCCATGCATTTTATTCTTTCTCTGCGCTTTCCTCTCTCTCTGTCATCTGCTTTTCTTTCTACATTCTATTCATTCTTCTTCTCTGTTCTGGCTCTTTATTTTCTGTCATTCTCTGAATCTCTGTCCCCCTTTCTTTTTTGTCTTTTCCTGATTCATCTTGACCTTTGGAGGTATCTCTGTGAATGTGTGTTATGTTTGCCTGTGTGAGTAGCACACTCAAAAATGTGTGTGGGAAGATAACTGGCTTCCTTCAGAGTGATTAAAACATTCCTTCTCTCCTTTTTCCTCTCTCATTTTCTGCCTTTCTTAGTTTTCAGTGAAGACTTTCTGATGAAGAGGAGGATGAAGACAGACAAACTGGTGAGTGAAAGCTAGCTGGACATGACTTTATTTCAACATTGGCCAGTATTTATCAAGCTAAGAAGGAACGCAGCTCTAGGAAACTCAGATTTTAATGTATGGTCAGGTTTGTCATTCTAGATCAGCATTTCTGCTGAGATTTGGTAAAGCAGAGAAAGTTTAGGAAAAAAAAATCCAGATTTTGGATTGTTTATTTGTAACTGTAGAAAACACGGCTAAAGAGCAGGAAGGGTTCAAGAGCTTGATAGAAAATAGTACAACACGCTTTCCAAACTTTGATGGATTTGACCCCGTGAGCCGCTGAATGGCATTTTATTTCTCCTACGTCTGTAAAAATGAGTTGATGAATACCCTTTTTCTAAATAGATCAAAGTGATTTTCTTTGAGCAATAAATAGCACAGCATGCAAAAGTAGATTCTTGTCCCGTAGTGATGGGTTTAAAATAGAAGTGTAATGAAGATATCTGGATAATCACAGAGACGGTAAGTAGCATTGTGAGGACAAATGTGTTCATTTTTTGGCAGTCAGTCAGGTTGCGGTAGATATTGGCTATATTTTGCACTTGCTTGGCAAGTAGCCCGCTTCTCCGAACTTAGTCATGTAATCATGATGTGACGCACTGACCGCACCTGTGAAGGGCTGAAGTGAAAGTAACAGGGTTACGTATCCTGGTGATATTACAGCAGCTGTCTTCAGATGGAACAAGGTCCAGCTCAGGAGCATTTTAATCACCTTGATCAATCTGTGTATAGGAATGAGTCTTTCAGTGACGTTAGTGGAAGTTTCACAGTTGGTACTGACGCACATTATATAAGATTTGTGAGCTGTTCGCTTATGTTATTTCAATGTGCATATGAGGAGACTATCAAAAACAAACGTACAGCACTGCACTCCAGATTCACATTTTGAATCAACTGAAAGGCTTTTTTGAGTGGGCTAGCTATAAGTGACAACTATATTTGCACAGGTTGTATGCGGCAATACATAGAAATGTTTAATTTACTGTAAATGTAGTAAATGATCACTTGGAACTTAAGGGGTATGTGTTGTTTGTTTTCCTCGATGGCAAATCACAAATTGCATTCACAGGTCCAGTAATATGTGCAGTGGCAGAAACTTAAGACACGTATAGACTCCACAGCCACACTGAGCATTCGCATCTTCTGGCAGCTATATTGGTTCTTGTGTGTGCAGTACGCTACAAAAATCTGATTGTGTATCTGAACGTACAACTCAGGCGCAAACAGGCATGATTACGATCTATGTGGCTGATTGGGTTGTGATCATTTCACTGATCCGTTGCGGTACACACGTCATGTGACTTGTAATTCTGACTGTGTTCACTTATACCAAATCATCTCACAGCCCACCGCTGTTCCTGGGGCCTTGATAATTATGCCTTCTAACTAGTTAACTAGCTAAACAGCAAGTGGTAAGGTCTTTTCAAACGGTGAGGCAAATTTCCACCGCACACAAACAGACGACTGTACAGACGTTAGCTGTAAGCTAGCAAGCATTGTAAGCACCAACGGTATGTGTGCCTATATATGTTTGTGTTCTGTTCAGCCATTGACTGTTCTCCGAACTCACCTTCGTCCTATTATTTTCCTCGAGTCCCTCCTATTTCCTCTCATTTCTGTAGATTCATAAGGCCCCAGTATTCGAGTGACTTTTCGTGGAAACATTTTTAAATCGCTTGGTCACGTTTTTGCCGAAATGTGCACTACCCCGGTTGAAATCATGTCTACTTGCGTCTTACTCATAGACTGTATATAAGAAATGGACGTAGTCATCGTGACGTCACCCTTTGGTTTGTGGCCTGCAGTTTTGAACCTTTAGTTTGGCCAATAGGGCGCCACCATGTTGAGTTTTTGCAACCAGCGGCAATGGACGTGACCATATTTGGACAAGACAGTTGAGCTAACGGCTGTGTGCGGACCTAGCTAGCTTGCTTAGCTAGGTGCATCTGTAATTCACCTTAACTATCATTTTAACAGGGCTGATTGTCTAGCGAACAACAATAAAACTATATGTACTCACCAGAGAAAGCCGACTCCTAATAAGCTTTTTCAGTGGCGCTGGTTAAATTTACACAGTGCCGAGGGTACGAGTCTATCTCTAGCCTGATTGACAGGTCGCCATGGTATCGACTTGTCAATCTTAGATTATCCCGCCCTGAAACATACTCTGCTTTATGGTCCATTTTAAAATAAATGGAACCATTATTTACTAAAAGAACATAATTTTGTATAGAAGAAGACATGAAACTAGCAATTGAGACCATAAACTCATTAGGAAAGTGTTTACTGAGGTACTTATTCAGGTGAGAAGTAGCCTCATTTTACCATTATTTCTAATGGAGCCGGACTTCTTTTTGTAACCAGAAGAGTCGCCCCCTGCTGGCCGTTCGATAGAATGCTGGTTTCAGGGACTTCCGCATTCGCATCAGATCACTGACCGGAAGCTTCCCGCTTGGTCTTTCCATCGAGTGTATATGCAATGGAATGTACAAAAAAACATTAATGCCATACAAAGAGAAGAGATGCTTTGCTCCTAGCTACTTCCTGTCTGCTGTGGATTGGTCTTCAAAAATACACCACCACTGAAATTGTTTGCTAGCTTCTCAAAAAGTACAAATCGCCATATAATTCATCATTTATCATATTTTAACAGTGGATTTGCTACACTGGATCTTCCTTCCTCACTTTATGGGAAGCATTGTCATCATCACACTGACAATCACTGTCAGCTACACAGATTTTGAGTCAATATTAATATTGTGAACCCCTGTCAGTCAGCCATTCATGAAATTAATGTTAACAATTAACCATCTTTTGTTGTATTTGGTCTTTTGACCAACAGTGGCCCTAAATATACCCCAAAATAGACATGAACAGCAGTGTAGATAGTAAATGGGCATGCTGGCCTGTACATACTACAGTATTTGTTTTTTGTTTGTTTGTTTGTTTTAACCAAATAGTTCCAGACATGTCTAGTTACCACACTCATCAAGCCTCAGCTCATGTTCTGCTCATGTCCAGAAGCTCGGGACATGCACATGAAAAATTTTATGGCACAGATCGTCGTGGCTGCGCAGATGTAGAAAGTAATGTGTAATTTGGGCTCCCAGCTGCACAGCTGAAAAAGTAACAAACGTGTCATTCTTGTCTGCACCATTTCTTGAACAAACTTGTTACTTCAATCAGAAAAAAAACAAGGTCAATGGATTCAGGAGGGGCAGTGTTAGCAGTTATATTTTAGTTGATTTCTTACATATGCCTACTATTAAGGCTTAAATTTGAGTAAAACATTAAAGACCTTTCCCTTTCTTAATCTGAATGTGTAAGAACTGAAATATTGATGTGACAAAAACATTCAAAGCTTGATGTCTCAGTGGTAGTTACGGCCTGCTTTGTATTTGTAGTGTGTTGTTGAGAGATGTCCATCTTATTAGAAATTTTAATTTAATTACACCTGTGAATCTAATTTGACTTGTTTACTATCAAATTCCACTGGATTGTCATGATCAATTTATACCTTGACCTTCATAAATGTCAGTGAGTTCATCAAACTGCGGCCTAGAGAGTTGGTCTCAATATCAATATCTCTTTCACTCTCTTTCTCACTCTGCTTTTTTCTCACTCCTTTCATTCTACACATTCTTCATAATGGCCTTTAAGTGGTATCAGTTTCCATATATTGTCTCACACACACACACAAAACACACACACACACACAAAACACACTCACACCCACACATGCCAGCCCTGTTCCGTCAAGGCTCCCCCCGTTTACGGTAAATGTGTGTTTTTGTCATCTGTGTGCCTGGATGAAGTGATGCAGTTAGTTTTGGTATCATGTCCGTGGCCATGCAGCTCCACCACTGAGAGAGACCGAGAGCACTGCAGTGTGGGTAGGCGTGGGAGGGCTATGACAGAGATGACTCAGCATTCTGTTGCCGGGTAGAGAAGCTCCAAACACTCTCACCCCCATACATTTAAAAAATACAGTATCTGATGTAGCTGCCATTCACGTCCCAGGCTTGTGTAAACACTTATCTAAACTGTACATGGTTAATATTTGCATGACACATTTCCCAGCAATGTTCCATCCACTCAAGGTCCACTAGAGAGTTAGCTGTGAGTAGAAAACGGATTAATAAATAACTAAGCCAGGTGAGAGATAAAGAAATACCTGGAAAAGATGGTGGGATAAATGTTAAAGGAGTCCACTAAACTGTATTGTTGTTAGCTAGCAAGCATAGCATCCAATGTATACTTGAACACGAAACTAGTCACAAGCTCGCTTCTATTATATAGGCTATAAATAGGCATCCATTAACAATCAAGCCAAAACTGTGTTGTCAGCAAACCAAAGTATCTGGCCAGTGCTGTTTTGCTGAAAAAACACAGAATCAGCCAAGATTCCTTGTGAAAAATACAGCTATTCAAAGCCCGTCTCGTAGAAATTTGACTGCAAATATGTTTTGAAGAAAACATAATGCAAACCGGATTATGTTTTCTTTCAACTTAATGAGGAAATTTAGTAAAATAACGTATCTGACAAATTGTTGTTGCTGAAACTGAACTTATTAGTAAAATGTTCATTCACAACATGCTTCATTTGTTTTCTGAGCTAGCTACCACGCAGGGTTCTGTCTGACCATCGGGAGCAGTTTGGGGTTTAGTGTCTTGTCCATGGACACTTCTGGACAGGAGGAGGAGATGGGGATCAAACCAACAATCCTGTGATCAGTGGACGACCCGCTCTACCACCTGAGCCACACAGTATTAACTGATTTTATTAAAAATCCTTTTAATGGTTATGTTTAGGCACTAATAGCACCTGGTTAAGATTAGGAAGTCAGGAGTGGCGTGAGAAAATATAATTTTACAACCCCGTTTCCAAAAAGGTTGGCACACTGTGTAAGGTTTTAAAAGACACAAAATGTGATGAGGTGCAAAACATTGAAACCCCCTATTTAGTTGAAAATAGCACA